TATTGTGGGTTCAATTAGCCCACAAGTCATTGTTATCATCCAGATGCAGCCAGAAGATTAACAATACAGCCACTCTGCATCTATGTGTGTGTGTGTGTGTGTGTGTGTGTGTGTGATCACTTTATGGTGTGACTGCAGCTGGATGCCTCCATTCTCTCTCACTGCTGATGTATGGAAGTTTATGAACAACAACATTCCATCTGTGCAGCAGTCAGCAGCTGAATGTTAAAGTCAGGGCTCAAGTCTCATTTAGAGGAGATATTAAAGGACCAGACTGTGGTGTAGCTCCGCCCCCCATTAAAACATAAACTACAGGACAGGAAGCTTTTATTACACCCTCACTAACTTACAGCTCTTTCACAGAAATACAAAGAATAACAGTGGACAACGATTTTGATTTTTTAAAGTCATGGTTCAGAAAATGGCTGATAAGAGGGGCAATACTGAAGAAGATTACAGCAGTTACCTAGATGAAAACAACAACTAAGAGGATTCAGACACTGACTTCTACCTGTTAAGCTGCTAACCAGCAAGTCAATGATCAGGGTGAGACATGGAGGACGAGCCAGTATCACTGCTAGCCAGGGGTACAGATTCACCTGATGCAACGCTGTCACTAAAACCTTTATTTTCTCAGCCTCTGAAGCAGAATCAGAGATGAAATGAAAACCATCGGAGACCTTAAACCTTTGTAAATCATTGCCTTTACGAATGCTCATCAACATTAAAAAAATGAAAATAGTTGAACTGAACTGAAAATGCTGACATTCAGATTTTAAGGAAATCCTCAGGGAGGTTGTTTCAAACAGTGCTGAGGTTTTAGAGGATGCCTCAGGTCTTAATGGGTTAGGTGAGACGTAAAGGGGAACTCCATCATTTTTACACATCAGAGTGTGTTTTCAAGCATTGTACTGCTGCACAAAAGTGAAAAGAGTTATAAATCCTTTAGTGACCCCAGAGGGAGCTGTATGAGGTCTGATCAATGTCCTCATGTGATGTCACTTGAGTCAGCATCAGTTGAGTCTGCTGACTTTGAAAATGAAAGAAGACTAGGTCAAAACCTAGCATATGGATGGGCCGTGTGTGGTCAATGTGTGAAATTGAGGAAATAGTTGAAAACTTTTGTAGAACTGTCGTAAACAACAGTAGTTTTACAGACAGTACATTGTAGTGTCAGCTGGTTTCAGTGTAGTGTCAGCTGATTTCAGCCTAATATCAACCGGTTTGAGTGTAGTGTCAGCTGGTTTCAGTGTAGTGTCAGTCGGCTTCAGTGTAGTGTCAGTTGGCTTCAGTGTAGTGTCAGCTGATTTCAGTGTAGTGTCAGCTGGTTTCAGTATCAGTTGGTTTCTGTCTAGTGTCAATTGGTTTCAGTCTGGTGTCAGCTGGTTTCAGTATCAGCTGGTTTCAGTCTAGTTTCAGTCTATTTTAATAAAGCTGTTCACACACAGAGAAAGTTAGAGGAGACATAATATCTTTATTATTTTATCTCACAGAAAGCACAGTCTCTGTCTGGGTAACAAACTGCTGTCCCACCTCTCTGCCACTCACTGAACAAAGTAGATGCAGACAGGTGTGCCGCTTGCTTGCAGGGCAGTACTGATGACTCTCTTCTATAGAAAGTAGCTAAGGTTTATCCACAAAGTAACTAGGTTTATTGCGAGGTGCTTTTTTTAAATCTACAGTGGCAACACTGTAGCCAGCTGAGTGCTGGTAACTCGGTAGCTATAACTTGATAATGCAAAATATATCAGTCAGTCAGTCAGTCAGTCTGAAAGTGTATCCTGCTCTTCATCTCTGCTTGATGCTACAGACTCCAGGTTTCAATAGCCACTACTACTATAACACACCCAAATTCTCCAGACGAACTGCTGGTGGTCAAGATACATTGCGGGTAATGTAGTAACCAGGTTTATAGAAGGAAGAAGAATGTGTGGAATAAAAAGAGGACACTTTGTGTAGTTCTGCTGCATCAACTTTGATTGAGATGGTGGTGGGGCAGTGGTGGTTGTATTTGGTGGTATTTCTTTGGCTCTGCTTGCCTATCTGTAAAAGTCAACACACGCCACCTAACGACCTAGATCCAGGTGCACTGCAGCGTGTTATAGGTGTATTGAGAGAGAGAGAGAGAGAGAGAGAGAGAGAGAGAGAGAGAGAGAGGACTCCATTACTGTGTCAGGCTGAGAGGCTGAAATGAAACAAGTATCTCCTCATCTCACTGCTTAATTAAAGACCCCTTAGTCCCCTAATGAAACCAATGACAGCAGGAGAAAGAGTGAGAGAGAGAGGGAGAGAGACAGATAGAGACAGAGAGAGTTCATTTCTATGAAAAAAGTGTGTTGCATTTCTTTGGCACTTCTTTCCTTCTACTTCATCCAAACTAATGGCCTCTCTCTCCTTCTCTCTCTTCTCACCACACACCACACACACACACACACACACACACCACACACACACACACACAAATGTAATTTGTCACCACCGATCAGTCAGGCTATACGCAACTACACAATAGAGCGAGTTACATGAACACACACGACCGAGCACGCACACGACACACACACATACACACAGTGTGAGGCAATAGTCAGCACCTGGTCCAGCAGTTTTCCAGACCAGTCAAATAGGTCTAACTGCAGGCATCAGGGACTCTCTGGACTTTTATTTCATGGTGTTTTGAAATACTAGACAGAAAGCTGTTTACGAATTTTTGCTCATAGAGAGAGATTACAGTTCAGACTGGACAGTACAACAGTAAATAAGCAAGCATATTGAATTTACTTTGAGCTTTGAGCTACAGGATCTGTTCAACCATCATAGTTGCTCTCCCTTAGACTGCAATACACACACATACACACACACACACACACACACACACACACACACACACACACACACACACACACGAACACCATCACCACCCCCACCCTTTACCACCACCATCCCATTGTTATCACTGAAGGTAGGCTAAATAACAGAAACACCTGTTTAATGTAATATACACTACATCCTCCACAGTGATCAATTGAATCAACAACTTTCTAAAACTATTTTAATAGTAAATTGCCAACTAAGTATATTAGTAATTATCAGGTGTATGGTCATGTTACAAAGTGCCTAACTAGAATGAATTGGTTGATTTCGTTGCTGTTCTAACCTGGGAACTGATATATCTTGTAACCTAAAGATGTTCTTTCATTTTATTGTTTTATCATATATTATTATAATCACCCTATAACATGTTTTACCCCTCTCTTTCCATTTTCAAATGTAACGCAGTAACACGTTTACTCAGAAACATTTTAACTGACTTACTTTGTTCTTTTATCTGAGAACATTTTTGCATAGTGATTTACTTCTACTGATGTCTTTTCACTAATAGTATTGATGCTGTTCACCAACCATTATTGTGAGTTTCATTTTGGCAGGTCCTGACAAAGGGCTGTTTGAAGGTTAATGTTATGCAGTTAGCAACAACACACACAAACATACATTGAAAGACACACACACCATATGGATATTAACTGTAGCTTTTTAGAGGCTCTATGGTAGCCAGCTCTACTGCCACACACAACAAAACACAAACACACATACAATATATATGTTAATAATAATAAATTATTATTATTATTATTATTATTAATATATATGTTGACAGAGACACACAAACACCATCTCAATGAATTGGATTAATTGGACTCTGGTGTAACAAACCTTATGCAATTTATACTGCCAAACATAGAAGCACAGACACTTTCAAAATAAGAGTCTCAAAAAGGTAAGAGGTAAGGTAGGTCATAAAAGTCAGATCTTAGAAGCCATTGTCTATATGGGGATATAGTGGTATAACTTTATTGCAGATCAGGACAACTCTCTATGACATGAATGAAACTGAAAGTAACGTCATTTGTAGAGATTGAAACAAGAGGAATGAAGTACACGCACCAAGCAGCAGGCACATTCAAAATTTCTCCAGGAATTTTCTAGTTATTATTATTATTATATTACTATACAACAGTGTTCATCATCAATTTGTTTGAAGGCACCTGCTATATTTGCTGCCATGTATAATATTTACATTATGCAAAAGCATTATGAGAGATGTGTGAGAAAATGAAAACTGCAAGCCTATTAGTTTGTCATTTTAAATTATTATTATTATTATTAAATTTTTAACATAACTGGGAAAAACAAGCTCCAAAAACATATAAAAAAAAAACTGCATGTGGGACTGAAGACGTCAACCAGCCCATTAAAGACACATTGTTCTGTTGAATGAAACCAGGGAGCTGTCAGTTATGGAGAGACAGTCATTGTGATCTGGTTCAAAACAAAGTGACACTGCGTTATTGGTTGGACCTTTCAGAAATGCTCACTGTGCAGTGTGATTTCAACTCTGAAGATTCCCTGCTCTCCAGGAGTGCCCATTTAAAGAACCATGGTGCTTTCACAGACGCTCCAACATTTGAGAACTGAGCCTCTGCTGCAAATAGCAACTTTTTTAAAACAAAAAAATGAGTTTTTGTGGTAAAATATTGGAAACTCAATGTTCACAGCTACTTCCAGAACTTTTGACTGTAACAAACACTCTTCTTCAGTGACTGGAAGTTGTTGGAGTAATCACATCAGGGCTGGATTTAACTGTTATGGTGGCGTGGGGCCGCTGCACCCCTGCTAACCCTCCTTTCCTCACTCTGTGTTTATTGCTATGGTGGAATATTAAACATATTTGCTGTGTGGTGAATTGATTAATGAATTTAGGAATATGCACAGTGTAAACACCCTCCACCCCAAAACCCCTGTTGTCTGCAGTAACCAGTTCTGTAATCAAGGAGTCTATCATGTGAATAACAGTGACTTTACCACATGAATTAAAATAAAAAGGAGTCTCTCTCAACTTTCAGTCTTCAGTTTCAATGATACGCAGCTAATAATCAAACCAAACTGATTCAAGATGAAAACATGTTTAAATCCACCTGATGCGAGGCTGAGGTAAAACTTACCATCTGATTGGGTGGTGACACTGGCGGTCTCTGTGGCCGTGCCCGGTCCATAGCGGTTTGTGGCCAAAACCCGAACTGTGTACTCAGTGAACTTATTGAGTCCCTCCATTTTGTAGTTGAGTCCGTTCACCTCCACACTCTGAACACAAAGACACAGCAGCGATTCAGAAAGTCAGAGCTAATCATTTTATGACATTTAAACAACCTCCACATAACAGCTCATGTTCTGACAGGTAGAACTACATCTGTTATGGTGCTGACCTGCTCTTTGCCAGATGGGCTCTCAGTCCACAACAGTCTGTAGCCCAGCACGGGGCCATTTGGTTGGATGGGAGGCTCCCAGCTCACCTGGACAGAGGTGGGAGACAGAGCTTCCACTCGGAGAGACTCCACCCTGCTGGGAACCTGGACTGTAGAGACACAGAGATGACACACTGCTCACACACATTCACAAATACTCATGCTACTGCTACAATTACACCTTCTACTACCATTACTATATTAGCAGAGCCAAACCACTTTGGTCCATTCTGTCATAAATACAATACAGTGTCACGTGAAACAATGCCTAATGCAGTGGTCACCCCTATCCATGTCCCTGGTGGGCTGAATTAATTCAGCCAAAATGAATATTCTCCCTTAATTTTTTATATCTTTTTCAATCTAATCGTTAGCCCTAAGTCCTTCTTTGACTCCATAGATTCATCCATATCATCCTTCATATGGAAGGACAAGCACCCTCGAGTTAATAAATTTCGCCTTCAAAGATCTAGAAATGTTGGAGGCATGGTGCTGCCTAATTTTCGCTTTTATTACTGGGCAGCCAATATATGCTGCATTGCATTTTGGTCTCACTTTCATAGTTTTCATAGTTTTTCTGTGAAAAACCCTTCTATTCCAGCACTACTGGGATCCTCACTCCCTCTCCCCCAAAATAAATCAGTTGATAATCCTGTGGTTTGGCATACAATGAGAATGTGGATCCAGTTCAGAAAACACTTTGGTCTATATGATTTCTCTCTTTCAAGTCCCATTGTATGCAATCATCTTTGCTCGATCCTGCGTTTCAAGAATGGCACAATCAAGCAGTCAAGTGTTTTATAGATCTTTTCATCAATAACAGTTTTGCAAGTTTAACAATTCTCCAAGAAGTTCAACCTCCAAAACACCAATTTTTTCAGATATCTGCAGACCAGATACTTTCTCCACTCTCAGATACACATTTCTTAATTTACACCCTGTATGCAAACACTTAATATCCTTTATCTATGACAAGCTGGCTGGTGTAAGACACGCCCCTCTTGACAAAATTAAAAATGTTTGGGAGCAAGATTTAAATCTTCACTGTCAGACGATATATGCGATTCAATTTGCAAGCTTGTTAATTCAACATCCCTCTGTGCCCTACATTGTTTGTTACAAAAACAAAAGTGGTACATATATCCAAAGCCAGACTTTCTCGTATATATCTAGATGTGAATCCCTGTTGCGACAGATGTAAAAGAGGTGACGCCTCCCTTATTCAATGTTCTAGAAAATACTGGAAGTTTGTTTTCCATGCCCTATTGCTAGTTCTCAGTTTTGATTTAGAACCCAACCTCCTAGTTGTTTTTAGGAGTTATGGGAGAAAATGAAGCACGCCTGCCTCCAAACAAACGCTGCATGCTGTCTTTTGCCTCTGTTTTAGCCAGGTTTTCAGTATTACTTAGATGGAGAGATGTTGCCCCACCCACCCATGCTCATTGGCTATGGGACAGTATGTCTGTTTAAGTCTTGAAAAGATCTGCTACTCAGTCTTTAACTCTAACAAAAAGTTCCTAAAGATATGGGGACCTTTGCTAGAATACAAAAAATTAAGGATGGATTTCCCCTTTATTTTATTCATTTTCTGTCAGTTTATTTTTGTAAGTAATACAAACTGTAGTTGTTTATCCATTTATAAATCCCTCCTTTGTTATTGATTTATTTCCTCTTGCTTTCTTTCCTAAATGTAAAACCCAACTTCCAGCTCCTCTTTGTAAAACTCCACGGGAGAAATATGTTTTTGTATGAGGAATTCTGGGCTGTTTAAGGGGCTTGGGCTGGCAAGGGTTGAAGGGGTTAAGGTTACATGTTCTGCTCCCATTAATATGTACATGTGATGTACAGTTGACATGTATACGTTACATTGTACAAATTGCACATTTTGGTAGTGTAATGCCACACTGATGCACCCATTGTATACTATACAAGTTTGCATTCTGTACATTTGTTGAAAATCTGATAAAAAAATCTTACAATACACAAAAAATAAGTACAATACAGTGAACTGAATTAGTCTGAATATATTACAATATTTTTTTATGGATATTACATTTGAAAAAGTGGAGGTTGAACTTTTTCAAGGCCTAGACATTTTCATCCTCATAAGAGATGTTCTCTTTCAATGGAGTGTCTCCCTGCATTACAGACTGAGCCTGTCACATTAAAGGGGTACTCCAATGATTTAGTGTTGGACTTCCAGAAAGTTCAGGGACACACAAGAGACACATAAAAAATGAATAGTTAAAAATGAGGCTGAGATGCTGCTTTTGAGTCAAGTTCCACAGACCCTGGAAACCCAGAAGAAGAAAGCAATCTCCCTCCACAAAACTTAACTTTGTGTGTGAAGCTGGTGAAGAGCTCCTTTTGCTTTCTTCATGTCTGTGTCTAGTGTCCATATGTTAATTTATATTCTGGCTGATGTGGTACACACTACATAACATATTGAGATATAGAAAGAAAAGTACACGACACACAAAACACAGTATGTATATATGAAAAACCATTACAATGTGTGTGTGTGTGTGTGTGTGTGTGTGTGTGTGTGTGTGTGTGTGTGTGTGTGTGTTTGTGTCTCACGGTCAGGTTTGGTGGTGATCCTCAGGGGGGCGGAGCTCTCTCCGGGTCCCATGTCATTGTAGGCGATGACTCTGAAGCTGTAGCTCTCCTCTGGTTTCAGGTTGGAAACTGTCAGCTCCAAAGACTCAGGCTCTGACACGTTCACTGACCGCTCCCTGACACAAGCACAAATACATGTCACAGTTTTTCTATTAATTATTTATTGTCTACAACTAACATCATGTTCCTTTGTATATTTATTTGATTGCATTTTGGTTTATATTATCAAATTTGCATCATGCCTAACCCATTTAAACTGGGAGGTGATACTTTACAGAGAAGCTACTTTTATTTTGTACCAGTGCAGATAATCAGAGCTGTAATCAGATGTTATCTGTGTAATCCCTCTGTAACCTTGGCTAATCCTCAGATTATAGCACCTCTGACACTGTTCAGTCCTCCACTAATCACCAAATAACTCTCATGTCCGTCTGTTCAGTGCAGGTTACAGCGCTAACTATTTCAAACACTTGTGCCAGATACAGTCAGTAAGCATAGCTTTTGGCTTTGGTCTGGTACCAAACATGTCAACATCAGACACCAGGGAACGTTGTTACTTTATAAGAGCTGACTGAAGTTTGTTGTTTTAATGGATATTCTGCACAGTTGAAAAAATAACACTGGTTTCTCAAAGCATTTACACATAACACAAAAAACAACAATTTTGCTTTAAACTCAGAGGCAGGTCTTTATGTATGTTTCACTGAAGACCCCTTAGAATGTGACAGTCCATAAATGTGTTGCCAGGTTTGAGCTCTTGTACAAAATCCAGTCAATTGTGAGTTTTAACTGAAAGTATACAGTACATTTCTCACTATTTGGTATCCTTTTACACCATGCACAGATACATAAAAATACCTTAATAAATTGCAAGTGTAGGAATCCCAATCCAGATGAAAAACAATTGTTCAATAAACACAACACAAAATGTATCTCATATGATATCAGACACTTAATCAGAATTATTAGGATTCTTTATCTGCAGACCACAAGTCTACAGTAAATTCCAGGTCCATCAGGCTGTTGAGTGTCTGTGTATAAGAGAAAGAAAGTGACATAGCAACAAATGAAACAATATCAGCAGCAGCAGCAGCAGCAGCAGTGAGACACAAAGGTTAAAGAAATATAAGAGGTGAGGGGACTTCTCAGGGTTTATGAATCTTTATTTTCCTCCAAGCTGCTGAGTAAAAGGCAGACAGGCAGAGCTGGATGTGAAGTTAACCAGCAGATCTCTGTCTGTCACACAGTGTGAACTCTGTTTGCTCTTCAAAGGCCACAGTCTCAGGTCAGTCTGCTCAAAAACAAGTGACCCACAGAGAGAGACACTTCTCTGTCTGCCTCTAATGTCACTCACTCCCGCTCATCTTTCTGCTGCTTCTACAGTAGTTTCTCTTCTCTTTTGAAGTAGCAGCTCTTTCTCTTTTTATATCTATTTTATTACAGTCATCAACTGTAGCATTAGATTAGATTTAGATTAGATTCAACTTTATTGTCATTGCACAGAGTACACGTACTAAGACAACGAAATGCATAAGCATAGTCATCTTCAATAGAGTGACAAAATCAACAAAAAATTATCCATGTACTACAAATGTGTTTTTCTCATTTATAAATTCTATGATTATGTTTTAAACTAATAATTGTAACTAAATAATTCTCACAGCGTTGGATATGAAGTTTCCTTTTTTCTGTATATCTTGTTAGAAATCATATGAAAGAACACCCTTCATAACTTCAGATTGCTTTATAAATATCAAGTTTAAATGAGCGGCTCAGGGGGTGGAGAGGGTCGTCCACTAATTGCAACATCGTGGTTCATTTACTAGCTCCTCCAGTCCGCATTTCGAAGCGTCCTTGGGCAAGATACTGAACCCCAAATTGTCTCTGATGTATGTACTGTATGTGTGTGGCTGTGTGTATATGGTAGAAAAGCACTGTATGGATGTGTGTGTGAATGGGTGAATGTGGCTTCCATTGTAGAGTGCTTTGGACTGGAAAAGTTCTATATAAGTGCAGTCCATTTATATATTTCCTTCAGTATCAAAGGAATGGTGATTGTTGTCCATTTCCAAGGTTGCAATGCGAACAAGAACAGCTAATAAATGTATGTATTTTTGTGGTGCAGACTCATGCTAATGTGTAAAAATTATATTCACCAAAAATATAAAAACAAAAAAAACAATAGTGACAAAAATCATTTTTGGTTTCATACTAATAGAGCATCATGAAAATGTGAAATATTACATGAAATTTGTGTAAATTGAATGTTTTCTGTCATTGACTGAATGACACATTAACACTGAGGTCGCTTAGTCATTCACATGCTACTCTGTTAATAACTACATTTAGACCACCTGTAGTACACCCCCCCCTGTCCTGAAGTGGTGCTGGTGATTCCAGTCTCCAGTGTGGCAGCAGAGCACATGTTCAGCCATGAGAGGTCCTCTGTCCGAGGCAAAGACACAAAACCTAGTGAGAAGCCAGTCCAAGTCCGTGCAGACCAGGAGGAAGGTCATAGTTCAGGCTGGACTACAGCAGGTGAATTGAGTTTCAATTCTATTTTTTGTTCATATTTTTATTGTACTAATCTAATTCTGTAAAACTGCATTATTCATATTTGTCTGTTTAGGCTCAATGTTTTATTTTTGTGCCTCCTGCTGTCACTGTGTTTCACGTGGTGATTGCACGCTCAGTGTGTCTGTTCTTTTGTCTCCAAGTCCTTATAAATGCATAATCAATAAATTTGGTCTGTATATTAAAATATTGTGGTAAAGTTGTTGTTGTTAATTAAATGCTATTAAATAGACAGTTTCTAATCATCATTAACAAATGAAAATTAAAATAACAGGTAACAATATATTATGACTTTTTCCATCCCTGTCTGGCAAGCTGACAGAGAAAGTCTGATGTAGCCTGTGTCGAGTGAATGTTTTTGGCCTGTGGGTCCGTCACTTTACACTGTGAGCTGTGCTGAGGTGAGAAAGGACATTCAAGCTATGACTTTTATTTACTATTTGTTACATAACTACTTCAAGATGTGAACAACTGAGTAAATGCCTTCCTGGGCCGACTGCACCATTTAAAATGTTAATACGTCCAACACGTTGGTTTATTGATAGATAGATAGATAGATAGATAGATAGATAGATAGATAGATAGATAGATTGATACTTTATTTATCCCCTAGGGGAAATTCATGTGTCCATTAGCTCATTGTTAATAATAATAATAATAATAATAATAATAATAATAATAATAATAATAATAATAATAATAATAATAATAATAATAACAGTTGATAATCAATAAACAATAATAATTAGATTAGTCCACTTCCTTTGGCTGAGGTGTTGTATAGCCTGTGGCAGTGGGAACAAAGGATCTCCTGAACTTCTCTGTTCTGCAGTGCAGTGAGATGAGATGTTTGCTGCACCTGTAGATGGCCAAGATGGCCTCCATCTTACATTGCATGCATCTCTCCACAACAGTCCTCAGTGAGTCCAGACTCCTGCCAAGCAGAGACCCATCCTTTTTTACCAGCTTGTCCAGTCTCCTTGTGTTCATGTCGGACATGCTGCTGCCCCAGCAAACTGCAGCATAAAAGAGTAAGCTGGTCACCACTTTTACTGTCCAGGTGCACACCTAGGTATTTATGAGTATGCACCACCTCAATGTCCTTCCCTCGAATGTTGACTGGCTGACCTAATACCTGCAGAACTAAGGTCAGGAACACATTGGATGTGTGGTGTGTGTGTCGCAGCTGTAGAACATCTTGGTTTTCATTTCAATGCACATGTTAACAGATTAGAGTGACACACTGCCTGTGTCTCACACCTTGTGGCTGCACAAGTGCATTTAGGGCGTGTCCATGTCTTTTTTAACAGTGGAAAAAACAGTCGCTGCTCCAGGTATGTGGTTCAAAAGGGGTTGTACTTAGTCTCTTCATTATTCAGCCCAGTCCTGACCAGTGAGAACATTCCTGACACAGGTCCTAGCTCTGTGACTCTGAGGGACAAAGAGGGTCTGGGTGAATCAACACACTGCTCACAGCTGGCACAAGTCACGTTAGAAATACACTGTTGCCCATAAAGTTGGAATAATTTTGTTTTCAGACACAATCCTCCGTTTATTCCTATTTAAATGCATCAGTAATCACTTTTGACCAGGTGCAATGATTACATTATGTGTCCCAATTACCCAGGTGAAATGAAATGAATCACATTGTCACAATCATTTCATGGAAAGAGGTAAAAAATATACTGTATTTTATTCCAACTTTATGAGCAACAGTGTATTTGATGTTATATGATGAGAAGTGTGAATAAATCTTCGGTTCATTATAAAACTGGTGACAAATTTAGGTGATGAATGAGAATGTGTGGAGGATTACCAGGTAGTAGGAAGAAAGCTTCTCTACAGAGCATTGTGCAAGAGACATCCATGACATAACGTTATACCCAACACGCAACACGTCACAAAAAAGCTCCAACCTTCTGAGGCTGTATTGTAATGTTCACCTGACTTATCCAACATCTAAGCTCATTTTCAGCTCACTCTGCTTGTGTGTAACAGGCAGAGAGAGAACGTTGTGAACCTGCCAATGTAGGAGCATGTTACTCTCTTGACAATGCTCCTTAAAATAACAGTGAAATACTGCACCACTGACTTCAGACCAGGTTTTTGCTGGTCAATCACTTTCTGTTGCCTCTAGATAATAATGTGCCAACAAAGCTCCTGACCACACCTCATTTTAAGACCAACATACCCATAGGTGCACAGATGGGCGCAAGTGTATTTGCTATTTAAACAACATGGGAGCTAAACGGGAAAATGACAATTTATGTTGCGCTTTGTTAATTGCAGGTCTGTCACCATATGGACATGACTTGTGGGATATGGAATCATCCAATACAGACACAATTTCTGAGGATACTGGGCTGTGGATGGAGAAGACCTAAGCTAGACCCACTGTTGCAAGACTCTGTAGTCTTGGGGATCTCACCTTTAGTCATTCTTGTTGTGACAGTTTGAGTCTGTTTCATCACAGGTGAAGTGAATAAAAGAGAGAAAGAGTCATCCTTGTAGGTGTTTGGTTCAGTTCAGTAGTCTTTTTATATAAAAACACTCAAAATTTCAAATTGCATGAAACTTTTTTCATACAAAACAGGCCTAGAATAGGTATACTACCACTGACAAGCAAAATAATGGCATTTGTGATTCCCATATTCTGAAAATAATAATATCTGGTAGCTGTGACATGTAGTGACTCTGTCAAAAGCCTTAAAGAGAGTGAAAACAGCTTTTTGTCCATCTAATTATTTTTGCTTTCCTTCTTTTCCCATTTTTCTGTCTTGATCTCTCTTCCACTTTCTCTGTTTTACTGTGAATATATTTCCTGGAAGTCATTACAACTGACAAAAAAATTTTCATCCCCTCGCTCCTGTCTTGCCATCTTCCTTTCTCCTGTAATCTTTCATTGTTTTCTCTCTCAGTGTCTCTTCCTCTCCCTCCCTCCCCTCTCATTTTCTGCAAGTTATTAGTGCTGACAAAACCCATTTCTGTATTTTTCTCTAAGTCATTAGAAGTGACAAAACCTCTGCCTCTGTTCCCTCTGTAAGCCATTAAGACTGACAGAATCTCTCTGTCATAGTGTTTCATGATGAAACCTCAGTGGCGTTCTTGTCCAGTGTACCGTTCAGAGTCCTAAAGCACTGCAGGCCAGTTTGTCCCTGAGGTACCAAAGCTTAAAAGCCTGGATGTGAAAGCCTTCAGCTGTAGCCCTGACTGTCAGAGGTTACCATTTAACATCAGCAGGGGACTCGCCAATATGTCACCCAGACATTTTCTACTAGATGTTCAGAGCTGCTGTGTGCAGCAGAGCTGTGAATACAGCAAAGCAGTGTTGTCTTTAGCATACTGTATACAGCTCTCCACCATCAGGCCTCTGTCCTTTTAAAAGTAAACAACATGAAGCTTCCTTTCACACAGTATTACAGTCCTACAGCAGGTAGGTTCAGGTTCTGCTCCCTTTGTAGCTACACAGCATGGCTCTATGGATGTTCCCTTTCATAAATACACATGTGGACAGATGACTGTTTATGTTTTTTACCCACAGAACTCAAAACTGATCATGACTGGGATCATTTTAAACTCATACAGTCACAATCTGGTGCTTGTTGTTTTATGGTACTGTATTGAGAATGTCCTGTAAAAAAACAATCCCATAAGGCGATTGTACAAGCAGTTTATTACGACCCATAGTTACCTTTTATTGTTAGGCGACATCTAGTTGCCATGGCGCAAATGAGAAGGTGACGTTGTAAAAAGAGGGAAAAGGGTGGATGAGACTGCCGTTTGTTTCCATTGTCAAACCCACAGTCTGACTGCTGACTGCTGCACACCCTTAACATGTGCTTATTATTGGTACCATGACAAATATGTGTTAAACTGTGTTAAATGGTTACCAACATGAAAATTTGACATGACTTTTAGTTCATGTTTGTATTGGATTAATTGTGCTTTTCTTTAGTGAAAGGTGAAATGAATTTGACTTCATAACTTCCTCAAAAACTGCTTCTTTAATGATGACCTCATTCTTGTGATTACTAGGAATCCATCCCAGTGGTGGGATTTGTCTGAGCAGAACATATTCCTCTAGACTTTTAACTTCACTAATTCAACACCATGGTTCTGGTGTGCCTTTAGAAGTCAATGCTGTGGGTTCTGTGTAATGTACAGACTGATGTAAAAACGCAGCTGAACACATTGGCTTATGTACTTTCAAAGGTCATTCAGAAGTCAGCAGCATGAGTCTCTGAACCAATCTAGAAATTAAAACCATTTCTCATCTGTTTTTATGCAGCGGTTTTTATATAACTGCTGAAACAACAATAACTCTACTTTGTGACTCTCATCATCTATGTCCATGGGTACAGTGATCATCTACTAAAGAGTCAGAAACCACATCAGACCAAAGGGACAAAGAGGTAAAATCCTGTCTTACCTCTCGACTCCATCCTGGGAGTAATAAACGCCGTACGTCTGCACAACGCCTCCACTCTCCTCTGGGGGGTGCCAGCTGAGTCGGACAAATCGACTGGACACTAGGACAGGGACCAGGTCGCGGGGGGCAGAGGGGAGGACAACGCCTGGGCTTGGGGACACTGGTGGGGGATCAGAGGAGGAGGAGTAAGTCAAAGGGATGCCAGAAGGAGCAGGAGGAGCAGGAGGAGCAGGAGGAGGGCGAGGAGGAGGAGGTGTGTGGGCAGGTCTATACTGAGTGGCCGTGGCCTCTGTTAACAGTTCATTCAGGGGAGAAGGAGGGAGGGAGGGAGGGAGGGAGGGAGGAAGGAGAAGGAAGGACGAGGACAAAGGACGACAGGGGGAATTGCGGGGGTGAGCAAAGGAGGTGGAGCAAAGAAAAAATGAAAGGAGCAAATGGCAAATGAGATGAGCAGATAAGGAACGAAAAGATGTGGAAAAGACAAGAAGGAAGAAAAGAAGGAAGAAGAGTGGTAAAGAAGATCACAGGCAAGAAGAAAAAGCAGCAGAGCATCTGAAAAGTTTAATTATCAAGCAAGACACATTAATCATCTGAACGTAAAGAGAGCTGCCTGCTACAGCTCAGAATCCCATTAATGACTGACAGCTCAGCTGCAGCACTTTCACATTTCAAACAGATGTTCGTCAATATTAGATGTCGTTCCTTTCAGGAGCTACATGGGGTTGTGGAATAACTAGCTTTACAGTTCTATAGACTCATATAATGCTTGGTCAGTTCTCCATCCTGAGGTAGAATGTGAGCAGTTCCTAGTAAAAAGACACTGAGAGACACATGAGCTTCAAATCATCAATCTCTGAACCAATATTCACCAGAGATCCGTATCTGGATACTTCATCTGGATAGTGACGTCTGATCATCAACCTTTCTATTTTCACCTTTTGTGAATAAATGTTCATTATTTTTAGTCAGCATTGTAATCACATATTAATATGGCAATTTTGTAGGTGGAGCGGCAACATGCAGCAGAATTGCTTCAAGAGACTTGTAAGGGACTGATGTAATGTGTGAGGCAAGGCTCACATGACAGAGACACAGGTGAAGTCTTCATAAAATATGTGGTTCTAGCAGCTTAGCTTAGCTTACTACTTGCACAGGTAGTTGTGTAAATTACAGTGGACTATCTCGCAAGATAACTGCTAAGAAACCAGCCATCTGGGAACACACTTGTGCTAATCAGTCACAGTAAACCTCTGAGCTTCTTTATGTTCTGCCTGCTAACTGTCTGTTAGCATAACACATCCATGCTTAACAAGCAAGCTGAGAGTTAGCAATGTAGTGAGCCTGGTCCCTGATGGGAAAATAAGTTAATGCAGTTTTGTATGAAATGCATTTTGTACAATCAACTGCTATCTTATAACTGTCTGTGCACCGCTCCTATTTCATGTGGAGCCAGGTTAAATAAAAGTTGTTATATCATCATCACCTCCAATCATTTTGGACTCTCATGTGCAGAATGGTGCAAAACAAATTTGCAGGGATTCAAGAATTGTGACCAGACCTTTACATGGGATCTCTACCTAGGGCGTAGATACCCCCTGAGAATCACCCAGTGAGCTCCACTTTGCAGCGGAAGCTTAAGATAACAGGACCATGTGGAATTAGGTGACCTTTCAACTTGTTTTGATTTTCTTGTGTCCAAACTGTATGAACGTGTTTTTCCTGATACAGATGAGATATCCAGATACAGATCCATCTAGTACCAGCTCACTGTCTATCACTGGCACATTTTTAAACCATAATAATGAATTCTTTTGTGAATGTCTCAACTACACATGCAAACACTATAACAAATGTACACCGTCACAGAAATGATGTGTAGTAAAAATGTTTTCCTGATATGCAGATTTTTTTCTGGTATTTAAAACATTGATGTAAAAAAGAATGAAAATGAAAATAAAATGAAAAAATGACAAGCCCTTTGTGTGCAAGTTGGGGACTAGTTCCATTTCTTTTGTGCTTACTCAGATAATTTCATAGTTCTGTTGTTAATCACTTTCTGTGTTCAGGAACAGGAGAAAGATTTCAGTATCCATTTCCAGTTTTAATTTATTTCAGCAAGAATACACAATTTTAGAAACATTACAACAAAGACAATTTTGACAAAAAAAATCTTAACCACAAGCCAACTCCAGTGAGGTGGTATCACCAGAAAACAGCTCCTGTTTCTACCAGTTTATTCTCCTGCCACTGAAGCTTTATAACTCCACTGAGCTCCAGAGTTTCACATACAGGCAGGCGAGCCCA